ATCACCATATTTGTACCTTTTAGAATGGGAATGTTTTTCTTGTATGGGAATGTTTGCCATTTTATGTTGGAAGTGTTTAATTTTCATTTGTATAGGGACTTGTAACTAAGAGTTTGCCTTAAATCTCAGAGGAGACTTGGAACTCTTCCTGGGAGTCCATCTCTTGGAGTTGGACTAAATGCCTTTGCATAAAGTGATGTTCATGAGTCTGGCATTCCAGGGGCAGAATGTTATGGCTTGTGTCTAAATATTCCCACAAAGCCTCATGTGGCATAGATAGGCTTTTTTCAGAGGTGTCTGAATCTAGAGTATGTGATGCTGGGATTAAGGGTATGTGATTACTAAATGAGTCTTTTGATTGGTTTGGTACTGCCCTAAACCAGGTAGCCTAAATAGAACACAAAAGGGGCAGAAAGAAGCTGCTATGGTCTTTTGGTTGCTTTGCTATCTTCTGCCCACCATAAACTGTTTCTCCTCTGCTATACCTATCTGCCATGCCACCCTTCCTTGGAGCCAGTCCATGACGTACTAAAACCTCTACAAACTGAGCTAAACAAACCTTTCCCCCTTTAAATTTGGGGGTTGGGTATTTTGTCTCAGCAATGAAATAAAAGTAATTAAGATAGTATTATAAATTTAAAAAGGCATTTAGTACACCTAACCTACTAAAATCCTAACACAGCAACACAGCACACAGTGTAGTACTGTTTATCCTCTGATTGCATGGCTGTGAGTACCACCGCTGTGAAAAAGTATAATGCTGCATTGTTTGCCTGGAAAAAGATTATAATTCAAAATTAAAGTATACTTTCTACTAAATACTTCTGGTTTTTGCACTAGTGTACAGTTAAAAAAATTTTAGGTTTAATTATCTTAGGTCAGGTATTATGTGCCTTTATTCTTCCCCATAGGTACTATATTCACAGGTTTGCTTCCTCATTTCCTTCATGTCTTTACTGTTATGGTCACCTCAATGAAGCCTTCTTTATCCAACTTATTTAAAACAGCAAACTGTTCCCTATGCCTTATCCCGCTTCTTGTCCACATTTTCCTCCCATAGCACTCATTATCTAATATACTAAATTTTTTTTATCATATCTGTGATATATCTTAAAACAAAATCAATTTTAAGATACATAATTATGTACCACCGAGGCAAGAAATGTTGTGCCAGAATAACTAGGATACCCATGATAGGTCATTTCCACATTTTCACAGTTTGAAATTAGGATATACACTGGAATGTTAGTTATCAGGTTACTGTTTGCCTCTTCAACTAGAAAATAAGCCCTTGAGGGCAGATATTTTTATCAGTTTTTTTCAGGATATTTTGAATATTCCCTAGAACTCATAGTGAGTGCTGTGTATATGTGATTTGAATAAATGAATGAATAAATAAAAGTATAAAATCCTGAGAGGGACAAATAACACTGAATTTATACATAGAAATATACAAATAAAATCATAAAACATTACGGAAAAAGAAAAACATACAAATTACCAGAAAAGGCTGACTACTTATAAAAGAATGATAATCAGATCAATATAGCTGACTTCCCCTTAGCAACAACGTACACCCAAAGAGAATGAGGCATTATTTACAAAATGTTACAGAAATTATCAAATTAGAATTTGTATCCTGGGAAGTCATCTACATAAGACTAAGGGAGAAAAAAACAAAGTTTAAACAATGACAGTGTATTACCTTCTGAGCCCAGTTGGAAGAGAAAGTGAAAGTATGTATTTTGCTGGGGGGAAAACCCCAGATTACAGGAAAGAGTAAAGAACAAAGAAATTAGACATATATGTGGATAATTCCACCAACTTCTGTCAGTACAAGTGTATAAATGTGCATGCTTTAATAAAAGCTAAATTGAAAATGGATCTGTGAATTACTGGGATGACTGTCAAAACTATAATGAAGTAGAAAAGTCATTCTAATTCATATGTAGTATCTTTATATATTGGGTTCCATGCTTTTACTTTCAAGCATTTAAGTTTTTAATTATTCAGAAAGTATTAAAAAAAATCTGCTCCTCCCAAATACAACATTACTGTCTACAGTGTCATCAAGAAGTACCTGCATAGAGCTTGGGTCATACTTGCATCTTTTACGTTTGGATCTGTGGTAAGACTCCTGATAAGAACTGTAATCATCTGAAGAGGAATATGCTGCACGAGGCTTGCCAATGCTACAGAAGGTTCAAACGATGCATCTAGTTTTTCAATAAAAGAGAAAAAGAAATATGGCAAGAAGGTTCATGTAAAGTATTTTTAAAGAACATTCTGTAAAAATTAAACATTTGCAGCAAAGGTCAGGCAGCAGTTATGCTACACATTATGGATTATATTTAATATACAAGGAACACTAATTTATAAAAATAAGATTACAAGTGGATAGCAGAGATCACTCCATAGATAGAATACTGAATTATAAAGACTTATTCCCTACTGTCTTGCCATTAATTGATTTTTTTCATGAATTGATTTTCCATAAATTGATTTTTTTGCATTTGTTAATATTTATTGTTATGCTAAAATATTCATTTGCAAAGCAGTGGTCAGAAATGAAATGTATCATTTCACTCCCACTTCAGAAGCTTCAAAGTCACTTACACCTGTTGCAGTAGTTATTGTATTGTTCTAGAGAATATTTAAAAAATAAGTAAATATTATGGTGAATTTGGGTGGTTTGCTTAAATTATATAAAAATTAAGCAAATCCAAGATGAGCATCCTTATTAATATAGTTGAAAAACTTGGAGGAAAATCTAACACTATAAAATAACCAATACAAGTAAAATTATAGTGAGAAAAATAATGAACCAACTCAGACACTATAAGTATATACATGATGTATTAAATTCATCAGCTTATTAAAACTCCATCCTTATTTTTGGCTTTTAAAATAAAATGAGGACACCTTCTTCACAAGTTAAATTATGAATACCTGAGTAGTATAGAGGCAGTAGTTATACCAAGTAGAAAGGAAATGAACCTGGTTTTAGAACTACAACTTCACAACCTACAGATCTGAACAATTCAAAGCTTTTAAGAACATAGACAAAGGTAAAATTCCTGAGTGAGAAAACGTTCTCTAGTCCAGAATCAGTTGACCCTTCCCAATTTCTGAGGAAGAAGTTCAGGATACAAAAACACCTATTTAAGTTCTGGTGGTTCATGTTTCCTCATTTTAACTGCATCCCATATCATACAAACTACTGTAGACAGAAAATGCCAATATTTAAAAACTGCATAATTAAATGGGATAATCTAGTAGAACTGCATAATCGACGAATTTAAAAAGTGGAGGAATTCAGAAATGGAAAAAACATTGCGACAAGATCACAGGGTCACATACAATAATGTACTGTAAACAGGATGCTACCATTAGTCACTAATGGATGAAGCTTTACACAGTAGCTGTCATCCTCAAGGCATTCCAAAATTTGAGCGGAGGCTAGGTAATTAAGTAACTTGTTTAGCGACAAAGGTCTTTAAATCTTCAAAATAGGAACACTGCCTGTTTTTAAGGAAGATAGTGATATTCTGAATAAAGCACTGTATTGAAATAAAAATTAGAATGAGGATATTAATCTTTACAGGTCAGGGGGCAAACACAGTGTGCATGTGAGAGACATATACCGAATTTCAGGAGATAGTCTCCTAAATATAATGACCCTCACCTGTGGAGGAGATGCTCGCAAAAACTTCTTGTAGGGAAGGTAGCAGTGTGGCGGGCTCGGCCTTCCAGATGTTCTGTAGCAAGTTACTCACTTTTGTTACCTGGGAAACATATTCCCGCAACTCTTTCTCCTGGGTGGACACGCACTGAAAATGGCCTATCGTCCGAACCAGCTGTTGACAGAAGGTGATGGATAATTTCCCTTTGGGGATGCACTGCACGAAGTCGGTCAGAAGGTCGCTCAGTCGGGCACAAAGCTGTGGCTCTGGCCTTTCACACACCATCCTTAACACCTCCACTTGCAGTAGGCTGAAGAGATCCAGCACGGACGGGCAGCTTATGATCAGCTTCAGGCCATTGTGAATGTAGTCCAGGATGGCTACGTCCTTCCTGTCCAGCGAGTGATAACCTTGCTGAAGGAGGCCCAACACGAAGGTCTTGTTGAAGAAGGATTCGAACTCGGGCCGGTGGTATCGCGCGTAGGCCTCCAGCACCTGGTGCCCCACTTTCCGCTGGAAAAGGTCCTGGCCCTCCAGGATGAGCCGGGTCGTCAGGTCAAACATGGCCTCGCACTGCGCCTCGTCCAGCCAGTGCTCCGCCGATTCCACCACCTTCCGCACGATCACCCGCTTTAGGGGCAGCGGGTGCGAAGAGCTCACCAGGCCCTCCAGGATCTTGTCCATTGTCGCCACGCTGCAAGGCCAGGGTCGGAGTAACAGGAGCCTGCGGCGGCGGCCCCTTAGTGGGGCAGGAGAGCCCCGGGGAGGAGGTGAACTTGGAGCTTTGCAGCAGCGGGACCGGCCACCGCCACCGCCGCCTCAGCAGCCACATTTATCGGGTAGGGCGGGCCATCCAAGCCGGGGCGCTTTAGGAACATACACCACCCGCGGCTGGCCTAAGTGTAGCGCCAGAGGCCCGAACTCGGCTGCCACGCCGGGCCTGCGGTCCCTCAGCATCAGCGCGGAGGAGGCAGCAAAGCCCTCAGCTTCGGTGGGCGTTCAGGTGGCGGGGTTGTGAGCCGACAGGTGGAGAGAGTTCTTCGGGGTCCTGGCGGGTCGATATAAGAAACCGGCCCGGGGCGGAGACAGGAGGTGCTGTCACTGAAGGTGCCGGAATCAGCCGGGAAGAAGAGGCGGAGTTAACCTTTGACCCGGATACAGAAGTGTGGAAAACCGGAAGTGAGCCTCGAAAGGTCCGCCTTCCTCCCTCCCCTCCACTCCGGACTCCCTGCCTGCTGTCCCCTCTCCGCTCCGCCCCCTCGTGACGTGCAAGAAGGGCCGCCTGAAGTTGAAGGTTGCTGGGAGGCTGGCGTCACTGGAAAGCGTGTGTGGAGTCACACAGGAGCGCTTCCGGGAGAAGCCGCCCCAGGCGGAACTTGTACAGGTGACCGGGTTTAAGGGTTCCTGCCGCTGGGCCTCTTCGGGCTTTTTGGGTTAGGTTACTTGTGAGAACAAGAAAGTGCTATTTATGTAGTGTCTTGTAAATGCGAAAGTTTTAGAAACGCAAAAAAAGCAGCCTGGACTACATAGTTATACCCTGTCGCGAATAAAAAGAACTTTTAAAATGCGCAAGGGAGTCTAAAAGCAACTCACTTTCACTCTTTGCCAAAGTAAGGACAATACCGGTGGTGACGTACTGCACATTTAACGAGGGATTAGTATCAGTAGAGGTTTGTTTTACCAGCCAAATAACCAGTTAGCTTTTCATGTTGAAAATTTGTAAGCTGCCCATTGGGAGGTAAGGAAAATGAAAACAATGCATAAATATATTTCTATATGTTTGTGTGTGTATAGTGATCAAAATAAATAGTGAGTGTTTAATTTTTTAAACATTACAATAAAAGACACATTGCCATTAATTTCCTTCAAAATAATCTCCCTTCGAATACTCCTTGCCACATTTTGAAGCAGATCTGGTAGTCCTCTTTCATGAGTTTCTACTGTCTCTGGATCAGGAGATCCCAATGTCTAATATCAACCATGTTTGCTTTAAATTCCAAATGTTCACCACAAGAATTCAGAATTTAATTATCTTTAACATTGGAAAATGTTACTTATGGTTTCTTTCAGCCTTGTTTAATATAAATAGCTAAATTAGAAATTAAGATGCAGTCAGAGAGGGATTACGTACTTGAGGAAGTCCATACAGGAAACACACAAAGATTGTGGCTGGAGGAGAATGTGAAGAGAGCCAGGCCCGCAGGCCTTCCTAGACATAAACAGCAATTTGAGATTATACTGTAATTAGCACCCCCTGGTCTAGTCAGTCCAGCTAGGCTCCAGATGCATAAGTGAGTAACCAGAATATCTGGGCCTATCCCCCCCCCCTTTTTTTCATGTACCCTTGCTATATGACTTGTTTCCTTATTGGATCAATATTAGCTAAGCGACTATACTTGTAATTCTATATGTTGATTGTAGTTTGACCCATGCTGTACTTGCATTGTGATTTTGCAGTACAAATTACCCCTGACAAGGGGTCTCAGTGGTCATGAACTCCAGACCCCTCCTGGAAATCCAGGAGTTACTCTTGTTTCTGGTAAAACTCTCCTAATTTCCTCCTTTGGTTCTCAGCAGAATTCCTTGACTTTGAGAGACCAGGAATTTGGCATATATGACATTTCGACAGATCAGGAGTTATTTTCCCATAACAAATGCAATTGTGAAAATAGACATTAACATCCTATAATACAGAAAGAACTTTAAAAAGTGGTTTGAGCCGGGTGTGGTGGCGAATGCCTGTAATCCTAGCACTCGGGAGGCTGAGGCTGTGAGTTTGAGACCAGCCTGGCCTACGTAGTGAGTTCCAGGTCAGTCTCAACTACATAGTGAGACCCTGTCTCAAACAACCAAAAAAAAAGAAAGAAAGAAAGAAATAGTTTGAAATTCCCCGAGAAAAAAATATTCTAAGTTGTAGTTTCAGTTTGCTAGTCTTTTTTTCATTTTGGTTTTTACTATTTCAAGCATAATTTCATTAATTTATTTAGTACGTTGATAAGAATAGCAATTTAGAGGAGGCAGGAACTGGGAAGGAGAACTTGACATCAGTTTGATTTGTAGGAAGAAACTGAAGATAGAAGTAAAGTAATGGATGTATGTAAAAGGCAGTCGTGACCAAGTGCAAAAATGACTTTAGACCTATCCTACTTCAAAGGGAACTATAGAGAAGTTTGACTTTATTGGGGTTAGTGCTACATTGAAAGAAAAATATAGAAAGTAGATATTAGAAGGGGATGGTAAGACTATGAGTCTGAGATGGAGATGATTTGGAATTAGTTTTTGTGTTCAGGTGCAAACTGGATAAAGATAGCTGAATAATAGAGTGCAATGATTACTACAAAGCATACAGGAAAAATAGTTAAAAACTTGACGGATTGCTTTGAATTGCCCCTAAAATTTCCCTTTCCTGCTAATGTTATAACTTCAGAAAGTAAATGTATGTAAAAAAAAAATCAGGCAATTAGTTTTCAGTCTATGTAGTACAGATAACATGCTTTCATCCTGTTTGACTTCCTAAAGCTCTATGACTGAAATACTTCTTGAGTGATATATTCATGAAATAAACTAGTAGATTTGTATATACCAAAGTATTCAAAACACATTTTTTTTTTTTGCCATTGGTAAAAACACATAGATAATATGCCCTTTTTTGGTTATAGGATTTCAATAAAAGGTGACCAATTTTAATTTATTTAATAACATAACTAGTATATCACACTACTGTGTTCTTGTTCAACATTTTAAAATATTTTAAGTTTATGAAAGGGTTTTTTTTTAATTTATTGGTACATTTTAGGTATACAGTACAGTTACATACATTATTGGGATCTTTACATGACAGGTCTTGGTTCTCATTTTTCCCCCTTGTCCCTGCCTGTGGAAGGGTTTTGTCGTAGTGAACCATACCACTAATCATTGGATTAGTGTATTTTGCTAAAGGCTTTAAGATTTTATATAAAGGTTTACTTTGTACTCCCAGTTACTAATTATTTCTATAAATATCTTAGATCTAAGAATGGGAGCTAAGAGGTAAGGATGAAAGAGAAAAAGCAAAGGATAAGGAATTATCATTTATTAAGTGTATGTGCTTGGCACTTAATGTATTATACTTTATTCCTAATTCTTAAAACAAAGTTTTTTATGTAGGTAGGTGCATTTTATAGCTAACGTAAAGACGTCATGAGAAGTTAAACACACAGGTTTGACTCCAGAGCCTTATTATTTCCATCATGTCATTATGTGAGAAGTATATTGTGTATATATGTTTGTAATAATCAAAGGGAAGCAGCATTTCCAAAAGTAGTGGTTAGTTAGCCAAGAGCTGCAGCTATATTTTGAGGTTACTAACATTTTCCCTCCAGAAAAATTGTATCACCTTATATAATCAAAATTAGACATACTGTACAAAGACAGCTATGATCAGTAAATCATTATGTGAAATAATTACAGATAATCCCTACATTTAAGCTATGCAGTTTGTATCTATATACTTTCTTTTTAGTTGTGAAGGAAGAAGTCTGGAAAGAATACATTTTGATACTCAGTTATATTTTAAAATGGACTCAATGGTATTTTTAAAAATGATTTAAAATGAGCACCAAAGTAATCTCATTTCCATATTCCAAATATGCCAGTGTTTATCTTATTTAGAATAAGATTGAGATGGCTACCACTGACAATAAAATCCTACATAAAATTTCTCCTATGTATTCCCAGCTCTCTCCTCCTAACTATGCAAGCCACATTGGCTGCCTTCTTCCTTAGGTCAGACTCTTAGATTTCTGGGATTTTGTACTTATTGAAATTTTTTTTCTGACTTCTATAATTTGATTTTCTACTCAATAGTCTTCTCAAGGAGTCACTTCCAGACTACCACTCTATTATGGTACTGTATTTTTTCCTTGCAGTATTTAACTAGTATCTGAAATTAACTTATTTATTTTTTATTTAACTTGCTTATAGTCTTTTTTGTGTGCCTTATAATCTAATATAATTTTCTTAGTCACCTCTATATCAGAACACTGCCTGAAAAAAAGTAAACAATTTAACAATGTTTTGAATTAGTGAACTTTTTTTTTCCCCAGTTCTGGGGATTGAGCCCCAGGATTTTTGGACTGAGCTACATCCCCAGCTCTTTTATATTTTATTTTGAGGAAGGGTCTTGCTAAGTATTATGTTGACCAGTCTGAGCTCAAAGTTAAGAACCTTCTGCCTCCTCTCAGAGTGTATTACATGTATATACTACCATGCCCAACCATGGATCACCTAATTTTTATTAAAATAAAAACGTTTTAAAAATCCCAAGAAAATCTACAAAATATTTTCTAGAATAAATCAGTTCAGAAGATTTCAGAATATGGATAGTACAAAGATCAGTTGTAATTTCATTTACTAGCAATGAGCACATGAACACCAAAATTGAAAATATAATACCCTTAATTGCTCAGAATCAAAGCTACTTAGGTTAAATCTAACAAAACATGAACAAGAATGATATGATGAAAGTAACAAAACAGTGATGGAAGATATCAGAAAAGATCTAAATAAATGATAGTGTGCATATAATTTAACATTGTACTGATGTTAATTATATGCAGAATGACATTCAATCTTAATGCAATCCTGGAAGAAGAAAAAAAAAGCAGCCAGAAACCAGCATAAACTACAGTTATGAAAATGAAGAAATAAATGGAAGGGATCACTCTACCTGAATTTAAAACTTCTCATATTCCACAGTAATCAAAGCAGTTTGATATTGGCAGAGGAATAGATACATAGATCTCTGGAATAAATTACAGTACCCAGAAATACACACACCAGTCTACTAAACTGATTTTTATAAAAGGGGCAAAAGCCATTCTATTTAAGGATAGTCTTTTCAATAAATAATGCTAGAGTAATTGAATAGTTATAGGCAAAAACCTAAGCACAAACCTCATGCAGAAACTCAAAATGGACCTTAAATTTAACTGTAAACATAAAAACCGTAACACTTTCTAGAAAACAGATCAAGAAAAGCATGGTGGCACATACCTATAATCCCAAGAATGAGGCTGAGGCGGGAGAATCACAAGTTCAAACTCATCGTAGGCAATTTAGTAACTTAATGAGACCTTGCCTTAAAATTTAAAATAAAGAAGGAAATAGGGGTGGTGGGGATGTAGCTCAGTGAGGTGACACTGTACAGTAATTACTGTACAATAAATCAATAATTTGGACTTCATCAAAATTTAAAACACTTCTTTAGTGAAGGACTTTGTTGAGAGAATGAAAGGACAAGTTTCAGATGGGGGAAGCATTTGTACACCATATATTTGACAAAGATTTTTCCTCTAGAGAATAAACTCTAAAAAATCAATAGTAAAAGACTACTGCACATCAAAA